TGTCGGACGGTCGATCCTATTGACATCGAGTGACTCTACTTGAAAAAAGTTACGGGATAGGCCCGCGCCATAGCTGATGTTAGAGGTTTTTCCCGTCACCCCTATCGAGTGAGCGACGCCGGATCCGAACCGACGCCTGACTCAAACTTTCCCTGACTACGGGTATGGGGAACCAGCGACCAACCTGGATCCCCCATTTCCCCACCCGAACACTGCCACTTCAACTCCCGGATTGGCTCCAGTCATCTACCTGCGCCCGCTTCCCCCGACATGCTGGGTCAGGGCCTCTTTGCCTATCATGTAGGACTTACGATTTGGCCATCTTAACCAGCAGCGGTCGATATCCGTTGACATACATAGACCCGGTCGGGAAGTTACTACTCCTCCCTTGGCTAGTTTCGCGGGAAATATCCATGACAGGTCGACCAAGGCTCTTTCACACAGTGCTAACACTGGCGCAAGTCCCCGATCTCCGCCCGAGCCCGCCCGACATGGTTGAACTTGCCTAAGTCCAAAGACTTCGTCGGTATGGCCTCGCACTTCATTGATCAAGTTCCTTTACCAGTGGAACACTTCCTTTCACACACTCATGCATACTTCGCCGTTCTCCCGTTAGCATAGAGGCCCTCACCCTTAAGTGGCATCAAAGTGCCACCGAAGGGCATAGAGTTCCTCTATAGAGCATAGAGTGCCTCCGTCCCAGCAGACACCACGAGGAGGTGGGAGATCCGACTTGTGCCCCCCTGGCCCCTTCGTCCACCAATATTAATCTACCCTAACCTAACCTAATCTTTTTTTTTTGGGCCGAAACTCATCACCAAGTTGGGGTGCCTTGGTCCGGGTGCGGGGGAGTCACCTTTCGGTATATCTCCTGCCCCCGGCTTTCGGCATCTCTTCCGCACCCGGCGTAGGATGGCCAGCAGGGGACAGAAGGTTAAGTTGGGTTAGGCCCATCTACCTTTCTCAACGCGGGCTTGGGACCGGCTATGGCGGTAGCCCCCTGGAAGGGTACGCCCTACATCTGTGGGGACGCAGAAGGGGCCGCTCCCCAGGGGGTGTTAGGTTAAGTAAATAAAAATCCAACAACGTTAATTAATTGTAACGCTATCCTAAGCCTAACATATACATACAACCCCCACACGTGCACCTGAACAGAAAAAACCAAGTCTCGCTTAACAATTAACACACATTCTTATCTTATATTTACCTCCCCCTTTCCAGTAGTGCACCCCACCACTGGTTGGGGTTCGACCACTTTCTAAATACTCCTATAATTACTTTCCCTACTATTTATGAACATTAATTACCTATTATCATTGTGTCACATTTAATGAGTTCAGATTTCATCGCCAGATCACTTATAGTATAGTTATAACTACAATAAATAAGTATCTAACTATAGTTTCAATTCTACTATTTGTCAACGTAATAAGATATATCGATACTACTGATAGGAATGATATCACTAACAAAATGTGTATCCACTGTTAAATATTTTCATACGTTTATTATTTATTTCCTACAGTATATAAAAAGAAACTCCGTAAATTTGTATAAAATTCGTATGACTGTGAGTTATATGCGTTATAACTTATATTGTATACACTATATCTATACGCTACTGTTTAATAAATAATTTAACACCTCCTTATTATATAAAAGCTCTCCTCACAATGTGTTACATACTAATTAAAGAAAAACCCCTTGAAAGATCCTTCCTTTCTTATGTTCCCATTTGCAAGACATAGTTTATTTATTAACTGCTTATATTCTTCCAATTCTACCATTCCTTCCCCCGATTCACCGTCATGCTATAAGAAACAGTTCCTTTCCAACCATAAAATTATCAGAAATGGTCAAAGAAGCCTCCACAAGCTACTAAGATCGTAATCCAAACTCTACCGTTAACTAACGTCAGCTATGCTACCATTCAAAACTGGAACCTAACCTAATCTAATTTACTGAAGTTAAGGCTTGAATTATATTGGTATGAAAATATTATTGATATGCAGAGTATACATACATCGTTTAATATCATTAGCTAATTGGATAAATGGATCTTTCTCATTTTTTCTTGTTTGTAAACGCCACAGAAACTCACACACGTGATTAATGAAACTATTTTGTCTCATACCTCCTCTACTAAATCATGCTCTCAAAACACGCCAGGACGATTCAATGTTCTGAATATAAGCACCACTTTCTGGGCCTACGAAATTAGTGCTGTGGTTTACAGTTTACACATGGGTGTGTTCACAGTTTTGTGAACATACCCATATTTATTTAAATTTATATAACTCTTCCAACAATCCGTATGTGTTTCCAAATCGACTGCTGCATTTAATTCGAGCGCGCTAAACAGGCTAAACTGTGCACACTCGAGATAATTCGAGCGGCGTTGTATTTTATGCTTTTATAATTTTTCACACTCGAATATAATCGAGAATTGAAAATAACAATGTGAAAGCAAAGAAAAAAAATCGTTTCATTGACATTTATTATTTACATGGGATTGTAAGCTATAACACTTATTTATTCAAGAATAAAATATAGCCTTTTTCCATGGAACAAAACCGCAGTATATAAAAATTGATTTTTCCCCCGATTTTAAAAAAAAAAAACTGTGTTAAAGGGTTAATGGAACAAGAGTATTTTCATTTCGTTTGTTTCCAGGACATATTTCGAACCGATATTTTTGCTCTTCTCGCCCTATCATTCCTATTCTAAATTTTTAATACGTAATAGGAAATAAAAATTAAAAATAAATATATTAAAATAACAACAGCCATAAAAATTATACATAATACGCATGTTCCTCACGCAAACGTCCTCTTTCAAACTTCCTTCGTCCAATTTTACGCTCATCAATTTCAACTATTACACCAGGACCGCCGATTAATTCTCCTAATTCATATTGTCTGTTAAGGGCTAGAACACACAATTCTCTACATAACAAAAATCTATCAGCAATTGATTCAGTTGAAACCGTTTCGTCTTTAACGATAGGAAACTCATGCTGAGTCTGATTATATGAGAATGGCCATGCAAAAGCATACAGAATATACATATAGCTACTTACGATTTTTCTCCCACTTGCAGCCACCTTACGAAAAAATGTTTAGAGCAATATTTGCAGGGTATGAAGTGCACAATAGATATTAGTAAAACAAATTTTTAAAACAGTTTGTTCTCTTGGCAAAGTCAAGGTCACCTTGGGTTTTTTAAATAGAAACATACATTTTTTTTTATCCATAGCTTCAGAGGACATCGAGACGAATTCAAAACATATATTACATGATATTTTTATTAACATATTACTCGATTTACAGAAGTGGAAATGTGAAGTAAAAGACCGGAATATTACGTGATGGAAGGCGGCATACATTTTAAACATGTAATTAAATAAAGTGTATTTTTCGTACATTCTAGTCGCATGTTCACATGCAGTAATCTCTGTGGAACCAAATATTGATTACACTACCAAAGTCAAAAGCTAAGTACTTAACATTTCCATTTCGGTAAATCGCGGTGTATCTTTTTGATTTTTCATCCATTGATATCTGATGAAAACCCGAATTGAGGTCTAAAACGAAAAAAAACTTTGATTTTCCTAGGTGATCTAGAATTTCATCTATCGGTGGTAGGGGCTACGCGTCCTGGTCAGTTTCCAGATTTAAACGTCGAAAGTCTATAACTAGTCTCCATTTGCGTTTGCCAGAATTGTCTAGTTTTTCAGGTACAATCCAGATAGGCGAATTATAAGGACGTCGTCTCGATCCGATACGAATGTCGACAAAGTGCGGGAAATTTTGAATTTTGAAACCACCCTACAGTCCAGATATGGCTCCCTCTGATTTTTTTCTGTTCCTTCGCATTAAAAGAAGACATAAAGGACATCGTTTCGGGACAATTGAGGCAGTTCAAGCGGCTTCGACGGAGTGCCTGAAGAGTCTTACGCTTGCCGACTTCCAGGGAGCGTATGAACAATGGAAAACCTGCTGGCAACGGTGTATTGATGCAGGAGGGGCATACTTTGAAGATTGTTAACTCAATGTACATATTATATCTTCAACGAATTTCATTTTAGGACATCAATCCCGATACTTATACCTAACCCTGTATGTTCAATCTGTCTGTCAATCTCATCTCTACATACGTACCTCGGGTGGCCTATGCGATTTTATGTTAATGGGTTTTTCTGTTTTTAGCTGGATTACGTGTCTGGTAAGGTTAGTACAAGGCAATTCTTCATTTTCGAAAGCGAACACGTCATTATAAGAAACTATTGTTTTTTCTAAACTGGATCTCAATTCTGGATCAACATGTTGGGGGTTAATTTTCTCTTTTAACAGTCTGATTCGGTCTGGTAGGGTGGTATTTAACTCGTGTACTGGATATGTGAGAGTTTCATTGGTGGGATTGTAAATGTGTGCTACATAAAATTGTTCGTTGATGGGAATTTTTGTGGTGTAAGTTTCGTTAGGTAGAATAGAGATTTCTGTCTCATGTTGTATAGTTTGTCCGTCTAATGTTAGTTCATTGTTTGTGATGTTGTATTGATACTGTTCGAAAAATGGGAGGCCCATTATACCGTCTTCTAATAATGGAAAACCGTCTGATACTACATGAAAAGAATGTAATTTGTCAAATAGTTTTAACGTGTCTTCCCCTTTACTGTCATGTCTATCTTTGCGCATCAGAAATGTCCTTCCTCCCCTTACAATTTTCCGGTCTTCACAATGTTTCGCTTTTATTATATTTAACCCGGCTCCGGTATCGAGAAGGAAACGCCCTATAATTTGATTTTTGAACCTTATTCTAATGAAGCGCAGTCTTCCTGATCAAGACTTAACGTTTGAGATTCTGAGTTGTAATCTTCCTGTTCGTCGCAAATCCGATTTACCCGCGGCGGTGGATTTAACTGAGGCGTTATGTGAAAATTCATAATACATAATGTCCTACCTTTCCGCAACGATTGCATTTTATATTTTGAATTTCGCGTGGTTTGTCGAATTTTCGCATTGGTCTCGGATTTGTTTGCTCTACTCGTACCCTATCGTTTTATGCTATAGGTCTATAAGAGACGCGTTGATTTTTGGAATCCCTTTCCCACATCTCAGCCTCTAAGGCATGGCCTTGTGCTTCTGAGATGCTATTAGGCTTATTGGAGTAAACTAACACTCCGATTTCGTACCGTAAATATTTTATATATGTTTTAGTCGCTTCTTTATCACAGATACTGAGGGCGATTTGCCTAATAGTAGGCCGCCTGTGTTCGTTTTGTATAGCGTACCTATATTCGTTTAGTTGTTGCCTAAAGCGAAGAGTATAACTCATAACGCTTTCAATTCTACCTTGTATTATATTATGCATTTTATCTCGCGCGGCATCCGAAGAAGCAGATGAAAACACATACGTTCTTAATGCATCAAAAAACTCGTCGTAACTAGTTATTTGCAAATGCCGAATATTTCTCTCCGCGTGCCCAGTTACTTTCGTAACAAGGATTTTGTCGAGTAAAATATCAGGTTCAAAACATCGTGATTTATAACGCGCTTGACCATACATATAAAATCCTCAACACCGGAATCGTTCTGCCTCTTAAGCGGCTTGATGGTGTCGAGCAAATCGTTAGCAGATTTTAATCCCTCATACCTGAGCTCCGTAGGTTGGCCACAATTTTTGTCTGACACATTTACCTCAGTGTGTGAGCGAGACGTGCTTGGTTGGAACGGTTGAAACTTTTGCCTCACTGGTTGATCTTCTTCTTCCTCAGGACGATATACCACAGATGCAGCCGTAGTAGCATCGTCGTCTGTGAGCATTGGCTTCAGGATCTTCTGGATTGCTTGATTTTCCGTTCTCCTTTTTTCATTTTCAGCCCGCATCGCGCAGGTACTTTCGCTGATCGTTTCTTGCTGGTTAGCGATAGTCTGGATGGCCTTACTTACCGCTTGAATAGCTTCTTCAATGGATGTGGACATTTTAGATCACACAATAGGCCATAAAAGCCTATGTACCTTACGGCGTTGATTATAACCGCGTCACGCTCATACCTGCAACGCTTACAATAATTATTCAGAAATCAATTAACGGTATATGTAGAGGTATAAAATGTCTAAAATATTGTAAAAGATTGTAAAAATATTGATATTTTTAATAATGATATTTTTAATAAAAATGCTGATTGTCCCTCTTCACAGGAAGTGATTTTAAATTATATATCTAATAAACATTGCAACAAACAACAAATTCCAAAAACACGTATCCTCTATTTTTGTCCATGGTTTACGTACACGAAGTTGCAAAAAAATAGATCAACATTTAGTGCAAAAATTTAAACAAAAATGATAAATTTTCAAAATATTATTTAAACAAATAAAGTTTATTGAAATTTTTTTACGCACAAAAATTCCCTATTGAAAGACCAACAGTTTGTTATACAAAAAAAAAAGAATTCAATTATCTTCTTTAATTCCGGAGATATTCCCAAAAATATGATTTCAACCCCCAACTTCGAGGGCTATTTTCACTCCTTCAATGTGAACGATGGCCGATAAAAAAAAATACGTGTCAAATATTTTCTTGAGAACTATCTTTCACATAAGTTTCATTAAAATTGATGCGTCGCGGTTCCATATGTTTCCTTCTCAGTAAAGTACAAGTTTCAATAAAATGGGGTACCTTAATCACCCCTCATTATTTTTCAAAAATTTTTATAATTTGGTTGTGAAATATATTCATATTTCATAATATAGGTTGGATAATGTTAGATTATGCACATATTTTCATATTTGAAGAGCAGATGGAAAGGAAGGGTACTAAAATAATTGTAAGCAAAATATATAATATAAAAATAAAATATTTTATTGGACAGAATCAATAAAAGAATACCAACATTTGTTGCTAGGATAAGGAAAACTGCCAAAACCTTATCAGTATTCATAAAAAAAAAATTACATTCATAATATTCAACATGAATAAAACTGAAAAACAATTTATAATAGAATTTATAAAATAACATAACAGTGTAAATAAATAATTTATAAAATAACTTAAAATATCACAATTTGTCTTTGGCACAATAGCATTATAAAATAATAAATAACTAAATAATAATAATAAAAGGAATTAAAAGAATATTGAACAAATAATGTAAAATAAAATAAATAGAAGCTCTAAGTAAACATACAAGCAAAAATATAGTATATTACAAACTATCAAATGTGCATTTATAGTATCATAGAAATTTTACGCGTTATGCAGTTCAAGATGTCGCGAATCTACTTCAAAATTAGTGCAATTAATATTTTTTGATTGAAAACTGGACCTGACTACACAAATTGAAGAAACCTTGTCGTTAGATAATTGGTTTCTTTTTTTATTTTTGACATCGGTTACAGTAGAAAATATACGCTTGGCTTCGGCGTTTGAGTGGGGCAAAGAAAGGACTATTGCAACTAATGATTTTAAATTTGGAAACATCTTTTCCCCATCGAAATTTGTAAAATTTAAAATACGTTTCCACATTTTATCTAAAGCTAAACCAATTAATTCTTTTTTATTGTCGTCATCAAAAGACGATGGTAAAATTCGCCATTCAAAAGCTAGTTCTGTTACATTGATCAAATTACTTACGCGTTTGGCGATAAAAGTTAAGTCTTTAATTTTTTGTCTCCCTTCATCATATAAAGCTATTTTCGGATCTAAAAAATGTAATTGTTTAAAAAAAGGATCTTGTAAAGGTAGACGTACAAGCATCTCTCGAACTGCAGTAGTATAAAAATTCAAACAATTTATTCTAATTTGACGGGCAAATTCTACTTTTACAGATTCTAAATAATTTTCACATTCCGGACCTATATAAACATTTTCAATATTCTGAATATTATTTACATTATCTATATCCAAAGATTCTATGTTCTTTAACGCGTCAATTTTGATAAAATTTTTAACGCGTGAATTTTGATAAAATTTTGCCCTATTTGATGAATTAATTTTGTACTACTTTCGAATAATTTATGTATTAAAATACTGCCAGACTGAAACAGACCATTGAAATTATTAAAAAAAATGTAGAGAGTGTTTAAGAAAAAGTATATAGGCTTTAATCGCGGGGTCGTTAAAATAATCCAAAATATAATACTTTCCGCGAAACTAGATTTCTCTTCTATTGGCTGCTAGATTTCTCTTCTACTGCTGCTAAAATGAAATAATTTTTCAAAACGTCCCAATTATCTAACAATCTAATAACACATTTGTGGAGGCAAAGCCATCTAGTATTTGATAATTTAAAAATTTTTAATCGCTGAACTTCAAAAAAATCCTGGAATTCAACCAAAATTGCACATCTCTTTGCACTGCCCGAAATACATGAATATAAGTGGCAACTCCTCTAATAAAAATTCTCGCAAGCCGAAGGTAATTAGTCACAAGAGTGACTAGCTATAAGCGCGGAAGAATGGCAAATACAATTTATAGTAATTAATTCGGGAACTTCTATTTTTAAATGTAACATGAATGAATTATTGCGGCCAACCATAACTGGCGCACTACCACACGCCAGTCCAATAATATTTTGAATGGGAATTTGTTTCTCGTCTACAGAATTTTTGAAAATTTGAATTTTTAATAGGAATTTTTTTTTCGTCTAAAGAATTTTTAACAATTTTAAAAATTTTACTCGCGGAACAATCGGTAGCATCTAATTGTAATAATTCTAATAACTGAGTTATAATGCTACCGTCTAATGGTGATACATATCTCACCAGTACGCACATTAATTTTGTATCGGAAATATCAGTACTTTCATCAATTAAAATCGAAAATCTACACATTTTTAGACAATGAATTATGTTCTCAATTTTGCGTTTAGCAATTACATTTTTGACAATTTTTGCACACTTATGTCGAGCAAGTGAAAGATCCTGTACAACTTCGGGTTCAATACAAATATCTTTTATTAACGGTATTAAATGGTCTATGGTACAAAATGCTACATTATGTTCAGCGAAAAATGCAGATAAATTAATTTCAGCTCGTTTCACTTTGTCCGTATGCAATAAGCTACTTGCGGTAACATTATTATTATTATTATTATCATTGTTGCTATCATTTATATCAAGTGAATTTACATTTCTACGGTGTACATTTGTTTTTTCGTGATTGTCTACATCGGTTTTGCAACATCTGATAGTTTTATTACAAGCGATACAAAGCGCTCTACATTTATCTACAGTAGGTCTTAACCATACTTTATAGCTGTCATTGTCTAACCATGCATGATTAAATCTACGGATCCTACGCTTTTTTACGGCACCTTCACCATTATTTGATGCCATTATAATTAAATATGTACAACGTACCTCGTAACGGCTGCTTTTTCGCTGCTTTCCCGCCAACGACACTACACTATCTAATGGCGCCACTAAATACATACGCTGCGTACGCTCCTGCATTTCTCGCGCATGCGCGAAAAAACCTGGCCAATATCTCATCACTGATGCCAGGCCACAACGCCTTATATCGCCTTATATCGCGCAATTTCGCGGATTTAGCTGCAAGGACCGCGCTCGGCGGTGCTCGTCCTCTAGCGGTGGCGTTAAATAGTTCGCGCCTACTTACTACGTTACAATGTATTAAAAACTTTGTTAGCGCGTGTCACAAGTGGCTCAAATTTTGTATAAGGATCATATTT